ATGAGTGCATGAGTGAATGAGTACTTGAGTGCATGAGTGAATAGGTGCGCGAGTGCGTGAGTGCATGAGTGAATGAGTGTATGAGTGCATGACTGAATGAGTGTATGAGTGAATGAGTTCAATTCAATTCAATTTTATTTGTATAGCGCCAAATCCTAATATACATTATCTCAAGGCACTTTACATAGAAGGTCAGGACCTTAAAATCAAAATATAAAGAAACCCAACAGTTGAACAATGAGCAGCACTTTGAGACTGTGGAGGAGAAACTCCCTCATTAACATGGAGAAACCTCTAGAACCAGACTCAATGTGGGCGATCATCTGCCTCGACCGGTTGGGGTGAGCAAAGAAAACGGGGGAAGGAGATGAGAGAGGGGTTGGAAAAGAGGGGAGAGAAGAGAGAGGGATAGTGGGGAGGGGGAAGTAGGTGAGAGAAAAACCGGGGACACTTGGGCGCCATCAGGTATCAGATGTGACTAGTTAAAAATGGAACAACAGTGTAAAGACTATTAATTACTGTGGATAACAGACACATTTGATATCATAATGAATTACTGCGATATTGTAATTAGTAATAGGAGAAGTTGTTGTCCTGAGGTTCTGGAGTGAGAGAGAAAAAGAGAGAGAGAGACTATGGGAGGACAAAGGGAAATAGTCATTGACATGTATTAAAATAAATAAATGAGTGAATGTGGGGGGGGCAGAGAGACAGAGAGAAGTGGAGAGGTGCTCAGTGGATGATGGGAGTTCTCCCAGCAGTCTAGACCTATAGCAGCATAACTAAGTGATGGTTCAGGACTCACCTGATCCAGAACTATAGACTTTATCAAAAAGGAACATTTTAACTTTAACTTTAAATGCTGAGATGGTGTCTGACTCTAGAACCCAGAGTGGGAGCTGGTTCCACAGGAGAGGAGCCTGGTAGCTGAAGGTTCTACCTCCTGTTCTACTCTTACAGACTCTGGAACCCAGAGTGGGAGCTGGTTCCACAGGAGAGGAGCCTGGTAGCTGAAGGTCCTACCTCCTGTTCTACTCTTACAGACTCTAGAACCACAAGAGAACCTGTGTTTTGGTAGTGAAGTGATCTATTTGGATAATGAGGTGTTATCAGCTCTTTGACATATGCGGTGTTTGGTTGTTAAGGGCTTAACATGTGAAGAGCAGGATCTTGAATTCTATTCTGGATTTTACAGGGAGCCAATGTAGAGAAGACAGGAATAATATGATCTCTCCTTCTACTTCCTGTCAGCACTTGTGCTGCGGCATTTTGGACCAACTGGAGATTTTTTACCAATTTCCTGTGACGTCCTGATAATAAAGARTTACAGTAATCTAATCTAGAGGTAACGAATGTGTGGACAAGTTTCTCAGCGTCCTTCTTAGACAGGATGTTTCTAATTTTGTTAATATTGCTCAGGTGGAAGAAAACTGTCCTAGAGACTTGTTCTATATGTTGGTCAAATGTCCTGGTCGAACATAACTCAAGGTTCCTCACAGTGGAGCTGGAGGACAAACTGACACCAAGGTGACTCTGTTCAGACAGTGATTCTCTGAGATGTTTAGGGTCAATTACAACGAACCCAGTTTTGTCTGAATTTAGAAGTAGGAAGTTGTGGCTCATCCAGGCCTTGATGTTCTTGAGACGTTCCTGAAGTTGAACTAAGTGATTAGATTCATCAGGCTTCATAGAAATGTGAAGCTGGGTGTCATCTGCGTAACAATGGAAGAGTCTGTGGTGCTTTCTCATGATGTTGCCTAAGGGGAGCATATATAAGGTGAAGAGTATCGGTCCAAGGACAGAACCTTGTGGAATGAGTGCATGAGTGTATGAGTGTATGAGTGAATGAGTGCATGAGTGAATGAGTGCATGAGTGAATGAGTGAATGAGTGAATGAGTGCATGAGTGAATGAGTGAATGAGTGTATGAGTATATGAGAAAAATAAAGTTTTTATTAAAAACATTAAATCTGAAATCACTGTAAAAAGAGTTGGACATTGATTTTTTATCACAGCATTAAAAGTCAAACTGAAACTTTGATCCTGGAGGAACTAAGTAAAATCAGTTTTTTATTAACATTTTTCTAAATCACATGAACTAAATGAGGAAATGTATTTTTTTTACTCAAATGTAAAGAGTGTAGTCTAAGTGTGAGATGCTAATATTGCTAACAGATCCACTGGTTTGAATGTAGAATGCTAACGGAGTCTGCTCTTAGGTCAGCATCGTGCTCTGGGCAGTAACCTGTCGAAGGTACGCAGTCTGAAGATGGACAACAAGATCTGGACTGAACCACTGATACAGGTGAGGGGGGGGGGGCTGAACCACTGTTACAGGTGGGGGGGGGGCTGAACCACTGTTACAGGTGAGGGGGGGATACAGTCTCTAAGATGTTACCCTTTAATCCTCTTTCAGCTTTTTGTTACCTACGGTAACCGGCTGGCCAATCAGGTGTGGGCGGCCACAGTGCCTGCAGCAGAGCAGCTGATTCCTGAGTCATCTGATGAGGAGAGGTCAAAGTTCATCCAGGATAAATACAGCAGGGGGTGCTACAGACAAGTTCACCCTCTGACATCCTGTCTCTCTCTAATGGACCAGGTTTATTTATTAATGCATGAATATCAATAAACAATATTGATACAATATTGATATATTGAGCAATAAGCTTCTACATAATGTGTACATTGAATGTGTGTGTGTGTGTTTCAGAGGCTGCGAGAGGTGGTGTGTACTGACGACATCGACGAAACAATGTCTCTGATCTGCTCAGGAGCAAAGGTCAGATTTCAAACACACACACACACACACACACGCACAGTGTTCAACACACCAGTGTTTATGTTTTATTAAGTTTTAATGTTTTTAAAATCCCAGTTCAGAAGATGAGTGAGCTTCAGCTCAGGGTGAGAGACGAGTGTGTGACTACGACAGCTGAGAAGCTCACAGGACAAATAAGACTCAACACTCTCCCTTCTGTGTCAAACTCATCTGTGAAACAAAATCATAAACACATGAACCATTTGAATGAAGCAGCAACAACACACTGATTTAAGTCAAGTCAACTTTATGATCAATAATGCCATATGTGCAGGACATACAGAGAATTGAAATAGCGTTTCCCTCTAATCCCCGGTGCAAACAGCACTAAGTGTCCAGTGTTTGTGGGAGGGAGTTCAGCATCCTGATGGCTTGGTGAAAGAAGCTGTCTCTCAGTCTGCTGGTTCTCGCCCGGAGGCTCCTCATTCTCCTCCCGGAAGGCAGGAGGTTGAAGAAGGGGTGGTTGGGATGGGTGGAGTCGCCCGCAATGCTGAGTGCTTTCCGGGCCAAGGTTGTGTTGTAGAGGACATCTACAGGGAAGGGAGGGGAGGGGGGGCACCGATGATCCTCTCAGCTGCTCTCACTATGCGCTGCAGGGTCGTCCGGCAGGATGCGGTGCAGCCGTTGTATCACACAGTGATGTAGCTGGTCATGATGCTCTCGGTGGTTCCACGGTAGAAGGTGTGCATGATGGGGACCGGTGCTCTGGCTCTTCTCAGTCTGCGGAGGAAGTAGAGGCGCTGCTGAGCTTCACTTTTATATTTTATTATTACAGTTTTTACAACAACAAAAAACGAATGTTAAGGATTTGTTTTACAGTAACAGTATATTGTAGAGATGGGGTGTTGGTTTAGGGATCGTGTTTGCGTCTGGTCACATCAACTCATCCTCGTCACAAGCAATATCTTCCCTCGCCAGGGGAAGTATCGCCATGCGTGTCCCACCCTGGACTTACCCCACCTCAATGTCTCCACATGCCTCTTCCATTGCTTGCAGAACCATGAGGTTGGCGGTCACAAACCACCATGTGGTCACTGAAATCAGGGGCAAATCAAAGCCTTGTCTCATGCAGGGCAGTTTGCCATGTGGAAAACCAGAGGCAGCACAAGATGTCTTCTTACAAGGGGTAACACTGTAGATACCGTGGGCACACTCAGTCTCAGGTTGCAGGTGTTTTGGTGTAGGGATTCAAACGGGAATCATCCATTCCAGAAACTGCAACTAGGCATCCCTCTCCATGTTCTCTGTTCAGCCATATACCCGAATGTTGTGGTTTCATAAACCCCGAGCCAGGGTGTCAAAGAATCTCAGACTCTATTTTAATTATAGTTTTGTTTGTGTGGTTTGTTTTAGTTCTGTTTTATTCGATGAGGATATTTTAATATTTTTGATTCTAATGGAATATAAATTGGGATCAATTATAAGTTTTAAACTGAATATTCTTAAGAATTAAAAGTTCCATCCTTTTTGAAAGGGTGAACTTGCAGGATTATGCTCTAATATGATTCTTTTTTCAGTGGTATGAAAATGTTGCGAAATTGTCACAATAATTTTATTTATGAGAATAAGTTTTTGGACAATATATCATCCAACAAAATGTGCTGTCATGACAGACCTACCTTAGTATTTTTAATAATGCACCAAGTCAGAGGTTTCCTTGTTCAGTTGACAGCTTTAGTTCTCTGAGAATTTCTTTTATATCCAAGCAAACTTGTTATTGTAGACTGAAATATTCTAAACTGAATCCATATCGAATCAAATCGAGACCTTGTGAATCTGACCAAATCGATTTGGGAAATCAGAGGTGAAACCCAGCCCTAATCAGCATGTACTTAAAGTAAAGTTTCAGAATAAATATACGACAGGATTCTCAGCAAAGAAGAGGATTAAATTGCAGAGAAGATGATCACATCTAGATCAGTGGTTGCCAACCCGTTGATCGCGATCTACCGGTCGATCTCGACAGTCTTCACTGTGGATCTCTGTAACTCTCTGGACTCAAAGTCTGTGGTCGCGCAGCAGATCAGCTGTGGGTCGGTTGTCTGTTGTTCACACCCGCTGTGTGTCCGCTACTGGCCTCGGAGCAGCAGGTTTATGTCCTGCATTTCCTTCAATACAAGTCGGATTATGCACTGAAGTAAATGTCAGGACTCTACGGTCTGAAGTCCTGAGAAGGAGTTTCCGGTGGCTGCATTGGACAAGTGCTGCAACACACCGAAAATGTCTTGGACATTTTACCATTTTTGGCACTCATTGGAGTTTCTCCACGAAGCTGTTTTGAATTTTGAACACAACACAGAATCAAAAACTATTTGAACCAGCCAGCTACAGCAGAGTGCAGCTAAGCATTGGTTACACATACATGTAACATGCTCACGTCAACCCGTGACATGGTGACATCATCTCATTGTCACAGCAACAGCAGCTCAATGATCAAACCTTGTTGTCATGGAAACATCAGTCTACGTCACAGACAGGAAGAGAACACCTGCTGTGACATCACATGATCGCTCTCATATTACCTGTGCACAGGTGCGTCAGTCAGAGCCTCAGAGCCCCTCCCCCATCCTCCTGGCTGAGAGGGCGGGTCATGCTCTGCAGAGTGAGCTGCTCCGACTCAACGAGTACACAGGTAAAACACACACACACA